AACCCATAAACCAACCATTTGCCTCTGCCAATCATGCTTTGTGGAAAATATTACAAAGTTGAAGTTTTTATTCTTTTAACCTCTTCCATTCTCCTCCATCCCTCAGTGCATGGTCCAGATGCAACTGAACTCTTTCTCTCAGTACTGCAATTTCTCATTTGAGCTTGTTATTGGTTTTTACATTAGATTTATTGACAGACTATAGAATTAAGTATAGAAACAACAACATTTAAGAACATTTTTTATATTACAAGCACTGATGATTCAACATGATTAGAAATGAATTGAAATTTTGGTAATTTTACCTTTTCTATTTTTATCTTTCACTTAAATCAAGGAGGTTATTTATTTTTAAATAAATTCCAGTACTTGAAGTTAACAAAGGAAGTGTTTCCTTTGAATTTGAAGGACTATGTTTTCAGAGAAAAGGTAGGCCAGAAAATTCAGTTCAGATGATGAGAAAAAACAGTATATCATTTTAAAAAACTACTCAGTTTACTTTACAATTTTGTGATGTCAGTGGCTTACTATATTTAATGACCTACCATATGACTTCTACTTAACAAATGCTAATTAATTATAAATCTCTTAGTACTATAATTTTTTCAATGTAAAATGCTTTTCATACTAAATCAGAAAACTTCAATGAAATATTGGCACAACTTTATTTTGAGAAGAATGCCTTTCCTGCAATACTGTTGAACTCCCATGAACATAAATAATATAGTTTAAAATATTATTATTTTTTGATTTGGTGGTAAAGAAATGTTCAAATACTGTCATAGCGCTTGGCATATAACATTAAGTGCATTTTAATTGATTATATCAATTAATAAATATACGTTCTTATTTGATTTACAGATGACATTTTGGAACACACCCCAAGAATTGTTTTACCCTATTATGAGTGCCATTTGTGCTGTGGAATATTTGCTTGACTAGACCAAGATATTTTGTGAGGAAGTCAGAATCATCTCATGAAAAAGACCACATCAACAGTTTTGTCTATGAAGGAGAGAGAAATTTGGAGGGTAAAAGCAGAAACTAGTCCGGAAGTAGATTTCTCCAGTAAATGGATTTTATTTTGCCACATGGTTCTCATTTTGCCAGGAGACTGGTGAATTTTTTGTTAAGAACATATCCAAGAACATATCCTTTATTACCCTAAATTTTAAAATAAAGAGGATAAAGTAAGAATTGTGCCCAGATCAATGATATCAGAGGAGAAAAAGATTTTGAATCTACATTTTTTTTTCTTTTAAATTTTTACTTTGGAACTTTTACCAAAAAGAAAGTTAATATACTATTCCTCAAATACAATGACATTATCTTCAGCTAATATTGATTTATTTATATATTTTCAGCTAATTGATTTAACAACATTTCAGGATCATTATTGGATAGATGGACGCCGTGTTTTATGTCTCATGCTTTTTGTTCCATCTGCACATCCAGTCTGTCACTAGACAGACACTCATTAACACATAACTTATGTTATAGAAAGGTCATAATGAAGGTGTCTCAGCCCTGCCTTATGGTTGAATTGACCCCATTGTCCTTCCATGCCCATAAGTATTCAATAAATTGCCATGTTTAAAAATATGTAAGAGATGAAGTACTCTATTGTGTTGGCATCTTCACAGCTGTTCTACTTCTTTTTTGGCAGACTCACTGCCTCTTGACCAAATCATTATGAGACAGATTCAAGAGCTTTTAATTGTACTATATTTTAGTAGCTTAGGAGAGAGAAATGTGAATAGGGTTAGTATCGAAGGACAGAATCGCATCTTTATATTTTTATATTTAAAGATTCATATGAAGAAGAGTCAAAACTAAATTGTACTTTTCTTCTGTGGAATATATTCGAGTCTCAATTGACTAAATATCTACTCCATCCTCCACCCCTTTGGAACCAATATACTGTCTCATCAATGCTTTAATCAATAACTTGTAGTGCTCCATCGTTCGAGACCTAATTTTTAAAGCAGGAAAAGTAGTAGAGAGGATAAGAGCTATTGGTAGTTTTCAGAGGATATACAGAGTGGTTCTATGATTTTTTTTTGTTTTGTTTTTAATTGGCATCCGACATGGACATATTTCTTCAATCTTATGAGTGTGATGCAAAATAAATTTCTATTATGATCACCTATTGATGAATACTATTCTCTTGAATTATACAGGCCCACATTAATTCTAAATCTTTATTCTGTATGCTCTATGCAACAGCCCTACTATTTCATTCTCTTGGAGAACAGAACTACTTAACTTTTCCGGAAGTTCTCTTTAATACCTTGCACTGAAAAAAGACAGATTCACAGACCAAAATCCACTAGTCTATCCCCAGGTACTCAAGGAAGAAAAGTCAACTTCATTAGTAAAATTCATAGTAATAAATTCAAACTTAAGGTTTTCTTCATTTAGAAAGTTTTAATTGAGCTCTGTTCTTGGTTCACAGTAGAATGGATGGATGTTTATAATCTACAGGTAATTTTTTAAAATAATTTTATATACTGGTTACATGCAATTCTGTTTTAAAAAAATCAGATTTTTTTTTTCATGGATTGAACTTAGGGGCACTCAACAACTGAGCCACATCCCCAGCCCTTTTTGTATTTTATTAGAGACAGGGTCTTACTGAGTTGCTTAATGCCTCACTGTTCATGAGGCTGGCTTTGAACTTGTGAACCTCCTGCCTCAGCCTCCAGAGCTATTGGGATTACAAGTGAATGCCACCACACCTGACTAAAATTTCAGACTTTAATTGAGGACTTCTGGAGTAAAGCCAGAATTTGTGTATTTCATATAAGCTCTCAAGCTGGCCCATTGACATGTCTTTGAGTACCAGTGTCCTAAAAGGTAATGAGGTTACTCAAATCACAAAAGCTTCAACACATCAATGTGTGAACAATGTGGTAAGCTTTACTGGCAGAGTTAAGAGTTAAGCATTAAGAACATATCCAAGGCTAGTGGAATGCTTTTAATCCCAGAGGCTCTGGAGACTGAGGAGGGAAGATCACAAGTCCAAAGTCAGACTGAGCAATTTAGGCCTTAAGTGACAAAACTGACTATCTGAGAACAAAAAAGTAAAACGGCTGTGAAAGTTGCTCAGTGGTTAAGAAACCCTGGTTTCAATCCCAGGTAACAACAAGAACAAGAACAAAAACAAGAACAAGAACAAGAACAACAAAAAACCAAAATATATCAAAGAAGGTTTCATTGTGAAGGAAGGCAAAAACTGAGTCCCAAATGATATGTAGAATTTTGATAAATAAATTATTACAGAAAATATGCTGCCATTTATGATACAATGAATAATGTAGTAAGACAGACTCATGAAGAAGTCTGAGATACTGTGAAAGTCAGTGTGGTAAGAATATAAGCGAACCTGTGGGAACTGTCAAACTAAGATGATAGTGGGAAAGTAGGCTGGTCCAGATTATAAGGAAGAAATCAACACAATGATTTTTGTATTCTTTAATTTGCATAAGTAGAAGGGGTTATAGATCACAGAATAAAATTATTTCTATCATTTAAAGTAATAATTTTGAAGTCATTTTCAGGATTCATTGATAAGGAAAGTCTGGTGACAATAAAACACAGAAGAAGATTCTTTTTTTATTTTTATGTTTTAGAATTTGTTTAATCTGTGATACATGACAGCAGAATGCATTTCAATTCATAGTACACATATAGAGCACAATTTTTCATGTCTCTGGCTGCACACAAGGTAGAGTCACACCATTCGTGTCTTCACATGTACTTAGGGTAATGATGTCCATCTCATTCCACCATCTTTCCTATCCCCATGACTCTTCCCTTCCCCTCCATTCTCTTTGCCTTATCTAAAGTTTCTTCATTCTTCTCATGCTCCCTTCCCGGTCCCCATTACAAATCAGCATTCCCATATCAGAGAATACATTCCACCTCTGGTTTTGGGGGATTGTTTTACTTCACTTAGCATAATATTCTCCAACTCCATTCATTACCTGCAAATGCCATGATTTTATTCTCTTTTAATGCTGAGTAATATTCTATTGTATATATAGACCAAATTTTCTTTATCCATTTAGCTACTGAAGGGCATCTAGATTGGTTCCATAATTTAGCTATTGTGAATTGTGCTGTTATAAACATCGATGTGGCTGTGTCCCTTTGTATGCTGTTTTTAAGTTCTTTGCATATAAACTGAGGAGTGGGATGGATGGGTCAAATGGTGTTTCCATTCCAAGTTTTCCAAGGAGTCTCCATACTGCTTTTCATATTGCTGCACCAATTTTCAGCCCCAGCAGCAATGTATCTGTGCGTCTTTTTCCTCACACACTTGACAACACTATTTTTTGTATTCTTAATAGATGACATTCTGACTGGAGTAAGATGAAATCTTAGATGAGTTTTGATTTGCATTTCTGTAATAGCTAGAGATGTTGAACCTTTTTATATATTTGTTGATTGATTATATATCATCTTCTAAAAAGTGTCTGTTCAGTTCTTTGGCCCATTTACTGATTAAGTTGTTTATATTTTTCGTGTTAGGTTTTTTGAGTTTTTTGTATATCCTAGAGATTAGTGCTCTATCTGATATGCATGTGAAAAAAAATTGCTACCATTCTGTAGGTTCTGTATTCACTTCACTATTTTATTATCTATCTATCTATTTATTTATTTAGCCTAGAAGAAGCTTTTTAGTTTGAATCTGTCCCATTTATTGATTCTTGATTTTAATTCTTGCACTTCAGGAGTCTTGTTAAGGAAGATGGAGCCTAATCCAACGTGATGAAGATTTGGGCCTACTTTTTTTTTTTTCTATTAGGTGCAGGGTTTCTGGTTTAATTCTTAGGTCCTTGATCCACTTTGAGTTGAGTTTTGTGCAAGGTGAGAGACAGGGGCTTAATTTCATTTTACTACATATGGATTTCTAGTTTTCTCAGCACTAATTTGTTGAAGAGGCTACCTTTTTTATCCAATGTATGTTTTTGGTGCCTTTGTCTAGTATGAAATAACTGTATTCATGTGGCTATATCTCTGTGTCCTCTATTCTGTACCTTCGTTCTAAAAGTCTGTTTTGGTGCCAATACCATGCTGTTTTTATTAACTGTTGTTCTGCAGTGTAGTTTAAGGTCTGGTATGGTGATGCCACCAGCTTCACTCTTCTTGCTAAGGATTACTTTGGCTATTCTGGGTCTCTCATTTTTTCCAGATGAATTTCTTGATTGCTTTCTATTTCTATGAGGAATGCCATTGTGATTTTGATCAGGATTGCATTAAATCTGTACAGTGTTTTTAGTAGTATGGTCATTTTGACAATAATAATTCTGCCTATCCAAGAACACAGGAGATCTTTTCATCTTCTAAGGTCTTCTTTAATTTCTTTCTTTAGCATTTTGTAGTTTCCATTGTAGAGGTCTTTTACCTGTTGCCTTAAGTTGATTCCCATGTATGTTATTTTATTTATTTATTTTTCCAGGCTATTGTAAACAGGGTGATTTTTCTAATTTCTCTTTCAGAGGATTTACCACTGATCTATAGATGCCTATAATTTATTAAGGTTGATTTTATATTCTGCTACTTTGCTGAATTTATTTATTCATTCTAGAAGTTTTCTGGTAGAATGTTTTGGATCCTCTAGGTATAGAATCATGTCATTGGCAAAAATAGTGATAATTTGAGTTATTTTCCTATCCGTATCCCTTTATTTCATCTGTCTAATTGCTCTGGCTAGATTTTCAAAGACTATGTTAATAGAAGTGGTAAAAGAGGGCATCCCTGTATTGTTCCAGGTTTTAGAGGGAATGCTTTCAATTTTTCTGCATTTAGAATGACTTTGGACTGGGGCTTAGCATATAGCCTTTATGATGTTGAGATATATTCCTGTTATCCCTAGTTTTTCAATTGTTTTGAATGTAAAGGGGTACTGTGTTTTGTCAAATGATTTTTCTGCATTTATTGAGATGATTATATAATTCTTATGTTTAAGTTATTGATGTGATGAATTATATCTATTGATTTCCATATGTTGAGCCATACTCACAACCCTGGGATGAAATCCCACTTGATCGTGGTGCACAATCTTTTTGATATGTTTTTGTATTTGGTTTGCCAGAACTTTACTGAGAATTTTTGCATCTATATGCATTAGAGATACTGGTCTAAAGTTTTCTTTCTTTAATGTGTCTTTGGTTTTGGAATCAGAGTGATATTGGCTTCATAGAATGAGGTCAGAAGTGTTCCTTTTTTTCATGAAATAATTTGAGGAATACTGGTATCAATTCTTTGAAGGTTTTGTAGAACTCAGCTGTGTATTCATCTCATCCTGGGATTTTCTTGGTTGGTAGGCTTCTGATGGCATCTTCCATTATATTGCTTGAAACTTATCTGTTTAACTTGTGTATATCATGCAGATTCAGTTTGGGCAAATAATATTACTCTAGAAATTTGTTGATGTCTTCAATATTTTGTATTTTATTGGAGTACAAATTTTCAAAATAGTTTCTAGTTATCCTCTGTATTTCTATAGTGTCCATCATGATATTTCTTTTTTCATTATGGATGTTAGTAATTTGAGTTTTCTCCTTCTCTTTGATAGCATGGCTATGGGTTTATCA